CCTCTCTAATAAGTATACAAACTGGGATCTCAATCATATTCAAATCATCCAGAAGCTAAAACTCCGATGCATCTAACACTCGCTGCTGCTTCCCATCATGTAAGTGCTTCTTCTGCATAGAAATATGAAATGCATTGTGTATACTAGACATCGATGCTGGAAGACCTAGCATGTATGACACAGCTCCCATGCGCTCTAAAATCTGAAAAGGTCCAATATACCTCGGTACAAGCTTCCCCCATCTTCCGATTCGCTGAACGCCTTTCATAGGTGATACCTTCAGCATAACTGAATCTCCAACCTAGAACTCCAAAGGTCTTCATCTCTTATTTGTATAGCTCTTTTGCCGATTCTGAGTGGCTAGAATCCTCTCTCTGATCAATGCTACCTTATCAGTAGTCCGCCTCACAAGCTCTGGTCTAAGCATTAAGCTATCCTTCGGTGATCTACAAGGTCTCTCGTACAATGCCTCATATGGGATCACACCGATTATCGCTTTATAACTATTGTTATAAGCGAACTCTATCAGTAGAATATGATCCTCCCAGCTACCTTGAAAGTCAATGATGTGAGATCGCAACATGTCTTCCAACACCTGATTTACTCTCTCCGTCTGACCATCCGTCTGTGGGTGGAATACACTGCTGTATGATAGTCTGCTACCAAATGAATCCTGAAAACTCCTCCAAAAGTGTGAAGTGGACACTAAACCTCGATCCGATATAATCGTGTCTAGAACTCTATGAATACGAATTATCTCCCGAACATATATCCTTGCATATGTCTCAGCTATATATGTAGTCTTCACTGGAATAAAAAATATGCTGACTTCATTAGTCTATCCACTATCATCCTATTAGAATCATTCTCTTTCTTCGACTTCGACAACCCTACAATAAAGTCCATATAAATGTTCACCCACTTCCATTCTGGAATAGGTAAAGGCTGAAGTGTTCCTGCCAGTCTCTGATACTCTGCCTTCACTTGCTGATAAGTAAAACACTTGCCCACATACTCTGCAATCTCTCTACACATACCACTCTACCAAAAGTGTCTCTTTAGGTCCTTGTACATCTTAGTGGTCCCTGGATGTACCGTGTATCGAGTACGATGTGATTTATCTAATAACTCCCTCTTAAGCTCTACACTAGCTGGCATAACTAATTTACCCTTCACCCATAGACCTCCATTAGTTCCAATGGTCCAATCAGCTTTTGCCTCTTTGATAATCTCCTCCTTTCGGATTTGAATCTAAGAGTCTTCCAACCGAGCTATGATAACTCTGTTACTCCAAGATGGCTGCACTGACACAGCTCCCAAAAATGCACTGATTCCACCAATCTGTTGGCCTCTTTGTTTTGATGATGTTTAACAAACAATTTACCACTAATGTTGTTTGTCTAGTATTTGTGTTTTTCTATATATTGTAGACAAACAACGTTGTTGGAGGATGGATGGAATAGCGCTTTAACGATCATATCCAAAGGAGGTTGGCGGAATGTCGGTGAAGCCTTACAATTCAAGTTAAAGATCAAGTTCAAGCTTCATCCGCAAGTGTACCAAGTCAAGCTAAATTGAAGATCAAGATTACTTGGGTAATATAGTTTTAGATTTTATATTATGTGTGTTATATACTCTAAGCTCAATAGCTATACACACACATTTATTGATTTCTTTGTATATATATATATAGTTATATATATATACACAAGTTTTGGTTTCTATATATATATATAGTTTTATATATATACATATACGTTTTTTGTTTTATAGTTTTCGAGTTTATATATGAAACAAATGCATAGAATTGGAAACTACTATTCTGTTTCATGTTTATATGCCTATATATGATTTCATCTTTAACAAGCTTATATTTAATGAAATCATATTTAGTGTCTTGTATATATTGCATAGAATATGCAATTTTATGAAAATATTGTATTTCTAGGTTATAGACTTCATAACAACATGTTATATCTTTTATCAAGTCTATACAATCATTTCATAAGGTTTCAAAATGTTGTTTAAGTCAAAATATCAAAATATCAATTTTCAGGTTTTCATGTTTTTGGACTATTTTGTAGCATGTTTATTATCATGTCTACAATCATTCCCCAAAGTTTTACATTTTTCTGAATTTATTTGATATTTTTAAACAGTGTTTTAAAATCAGATAAACAGTTTTCAGAATCTGGGATGTCTGTTTTCGGTCGACCGGTACGGTCGACCGGTCAATTGACCATTCGTCAGTATTTTTTCAGAGAGTCGTCGGTCGACCGGTCCGGTCGACCGAGAGCTCAAATCGGTCGACCGACAGAATTTCCGGTCGACCGACGATGGTCCAGAACGTTTTCTTCGTGTTTTTGCTCTCATCGGTCGACCGACGGAATTTTCGGTCGACCGACAATGTGACCGTTGGACTTCCAACGGCTATTTCTGAGCTGACTTTTCTGGGGCATTTTGGTCTTTCTGTTTTGGGGTTTTTGCTGATATTTCCTCTTCCTATATATACCCCATTGCTGATTGTCTTTTGTTTTGGGTGTTTTTGCTGAGATTTCTAGTGGGTATATATACCCCATTGCTGATGTCTTTTCAAATTGATTAAGAGAGTTTTTAAAAACAAGTTTAAGAAAGTTTTAAACAAGGGTTTGAGTTTGTTTAGTTTGTTTTTGGGGTTTGCTGTTACAAAGAGGAGTTTGCATCACCAGTTGAGGATTTCATCCTCAAAATCTTCTCATCCTCTCTTTGTGTTTATAGAGAAGTTTTTTAACTCTTTTCCCTAACAATTTCATTATTGATTTATCATATATTAATTATTGCTAGTTTGCTATTTGAATTAGATTTCATTTTAC